TTATTTATTTAAATATACACACACACACACACACAATCGTTTCCATATTGTGCTTCTTCCCGTTTGCTGGTGTTAGCTTGAATACCAAGGGTAACTACAATTGTAAACATGTAAACATGAGATCATGCTGTAACAATGTAAACATTGTATATGTAAGTTGTATTGAATCTGGTTGTCCGTAATTTAGCAGTCTTCAGCATGTTGATGGCTGAGGGATAAAAGCTTAACAGACTAAGCTCCTTAGTCTATTATGTCTTTATGGCTCTGAAACGTCTGCCTGAAGGTAGATGTTCAAACAGTGCATCATCATGGTGAGATGGGTCCCAAAGGATTTTATTTATGTTGCTGAGACAACGGGAGCAAACAAACTGTTTATTTATAAATAAATAGTCTGCTTCATAATGAGGAGCTACTGTTACCAAGATTTCTTTTGTCAAAAAAGGATTATTATGGCAAGAGGCTGAAGAAAACCTCAGACCTAAAGACCAATGCCTGTGTGGCTCCAGTCCAGCCCACCCCTGACTTCATTCGCCAGGCACTGAAGAAAGTACACCCTGAAATCACTGCTAGGTTAGTGGGTTGCTGACCTCTCTGTTCTTCTAGTCACACTTCAAAATCAGTGAACCTGATATGTTTTTGTCTCCCACAGGTACTATGGCTGTGGTTTGGTTGTGCCAGAATGCTTAGAGGGCTGCAGGATACTAGACTTGGGCAGCGGAAGTGGGAGGGACTGCTATATGTTGAGTCAGCTTGTGGGTGAGAAGGGACATGTCACTGGTATTGACATGACTGATGGCCAGGTATTGAGCATCCGTATCGCTGCATTGGCCTTATGATTAATCGGTGCATCCTAGCTGATGGTTAAATGATACTGAATTGAACTCAGAATATCTCCAAAACTCTATTTAAGGCTGTTAAAATCTTCTAAATGAAGATTTTTCAACTTCTTAATTTGTAAAGACAAAACTCTGTTCTGTATGCATGCATGCCTTAAATACAACCAAAAAGTTTTGGACTTATTTTCTGATAAATACCTTCTTTTTTTTTTTTCTTTTTTTTTTTTAATTCCAGCTGGAGTTGGCCAGGACCTATGTGGACCATCATATGAAAGAGTTTGGTTACAAGAAGCCAAATATAAATTTTGTCCAAGGCTACATCGAAGCCTTGACCGAGGCAGGTCTGGAAAATGACTCGTTTGATGTAATTATGTAAGGTGTCTTACTAATCCTTTTTTGTGTGCAGTTTAACAATATATAATCATAGAATAACAGTTTTGAACATCTTCTGCTTTTGCTTAGCTCCAACTGTGTGGTGAATCTTTCTCCAGACAAGAGGCTGGTACTGACTGAAGCTTACAAAGTACTTAAGGTACGCTGCTTCTCATTTTTTTAAATATTGTTATTAAATCTTCAATCATAAAACTATGACAGCAAAGCTAAGCAAATATTTACATACACTTTCTCATTTTTCCTCATTAGGATGGTGGTGAGCTGTACTTCAGTGACATTTACAGCAATGGAAGACTAACAGAGGAAATTAAAAATCACAAAGTGTTATGGGGTGTGTCTAATTAATATTCTACTGCCATAAATTGACAAGCACCCACCAGAATATCATAATCTGTTTTATCTTTGCAGGTGAGTGCCTTGCTGGAGCACTCTGCTGGAAGGATCTCCTGCAATTGGCTGAAAAAGTGGGCTTCAGCCCCCCACGGCTGGTTACGGCCAGTGTCATCACTGTTGACAACAAGGAACTGCAGGACATTCTTGGTTTGACAGCTTTTTTACTTGCTTGACTTTTGCATTATTTGCTTGATACAGAATTACACTCAACAGCCACTTTGTTAGGTACATCTGTTCAGCTGCTTTCTAATGCAAATATCTAGTCAGTAAATCACATGACTGCAGCTCGGTGCGCATAGGCATGTCGACATGGTCATGATGACCTGCTGAAGTTCAGACCGAGCATCAGAATGGGGGGGGGAGGTGATTTAGGTAACTTTGAATGTGGCGTGGTTGTTAGTGCCAGATAAGCTGGTATGATTATTTCAGAAATTGATGATCTACTGGGATTTTCCCACACAGCCATCTTTGGAGTTTACAGAGCTCTGGAAAAGAGTAAATATCCAGTGACATTCATGTCAGTTGTACATACAGGCACAATCGACATGAATGATGCTATCAGAGAATCCTTTTGCACAAGTTCTTAAAGAAGAACATTTTATAGATTAACCCTACAAATAAACATTACTAAGTTAGCTTGCACTATTATGTCACTGCTGGTTTTCTCCTAACCTATATTTATGTAGCTACAGTTACAACTAATGTAACATTACAAGATTCCAAGTTATTTTACATTTTGAGAGCTGCTAACCTTCTTGCATGACCTGAAATTTATTTATTTTTTTAATTTCAATCTTGTGTGTTTAATACAGGTGACTTCAAGTTTGTTTCTGCCACATACCGCTTGTTTAAGGTCCCCAAGGGGAACACCAAGAACTGCAAAGTCATATATAATGGGGGCATTACAGGGGCAGAGGATAGTTTCCAGTTTGACTGTCAGTACACCTTCATGGTCTGTATATATTGTATTAGAATATGCATCAGCCTTCTACTCGCTTAAACTGTGCAAATGATTTCAGATTTGGATGTATTTTGTAGGCCAATGAAGTTGTGGAGGTGGATGGAGAGGTGGCCAACATACTGACACATTCCAGATTTGCAGAGGACTTTACTTTCCAGCCACTGGGGGGCCCCACTGGGCCCTGTGGAGTCAAACCTAAGGTCAGTGTTGTGTTTAAATTCTTGGATGTCTCTTTTACACATTAGGGGTCAGTATGTTTCTGGTATCAATTTGTGTGACACGCCCAGAGGGCAGAGCACCTCTGTCAAACTGCGCTCATAAACACACATGCATGTGCTTCTGCATGCTGTACATTCTTGGACATTCACGTACCGCTCAAACATACATACACACATGCACGAGCACAAGGTCAAGCAGCTGTCTTGGACTCATAACCAGACTGTGGAGTCATGCTGGGGAACCTTGAACAAGAAGGAATGTTCTACACTCAGCTAATAGAATACCATTTCATCAGGGCTTGCAATCATTTTATGCACATACACCTAACAGCACCGCTTTACATTTTTTTTAAAATGAGTTCTCTAACTTGTTAACCGCTCATTAAAGATTTTTTTTTCTCTTCTGATATGAGAAATAGAAGTAAATTAAAATGGTAAAGGCTTATCAAAATCCACCTCATTATTAACAGTTTGGACAGTGTGAAGTCTCGTCTGGAAGAGTTTTCTGTAATCACTACAGCAGTGTGCTGATAATAGTAATAAAAAAGCCTTTGGTCTTATTCATGGAAAGAACAGCTGCTTTGAAATTGTGACTTAATGAACAACCAGTAACTGATAAAGGAAGCACAGGGCCATAACAAGACTCCATGTAGAGGAGCCGGTGTTCTGTTATAATGTACCGTAATAGTACCTGGATTCACTTCTTCAATTTTGTGACCTTGCTTACAGTGATTTGGGATGAAACACAAATGTTACATGATACATTCTTGTAACTGGGTGCTTGTTCTTTTAATGCTTCTGCTTGGCTGAATTATTCATACAGGCTGGCATTGAGGACCCTTTTGAGCTGGCCCTGAAGTTGGGTGTGCAAGGCCCTGCATCAGCCACTGGGGGATGCTGCAGCACACAGTCTGCTGGCTGCAGCACACAGTCTGCTGGCTGCTGCAAATGATGGTGGGAAGAGCACAAAGAAACAGGCTCAGCTTCCTGCCTACCAATAATGTCTACATGTTTGGTGAACTTCCATGAGTATTAATTAATTCATTTTAATTAAACATAATCATGTTCCTCATATATGACCTCACAACTTCATTACATCGATAAACAATAAACACCTTGTGGGTAGATCATGATTTAATAGATACTGGTTGCTCAAACAACTTCACCCACCCAGTGTATAATGGAGACATCTCAGCTGGTCAAGTTTTAGTTTCACTTTGGAACACCCTGCATTGCAATTACACAAAGCCACCATTTGCTTCACATACTGAATGACTATGTGAAGGACTACAAGTGTATGGCCTGCAGAGAAATGAGTTCTGCTGATGACTTTAAAATGTTTTATTGTGTAATCAAAGTGTTTGTATTTGAAGTTGCTTCAAGTGCATATGAGCCAATTTAAGGAGCCAGCATATGATTTAGGACCTTAAGGAAAAGAAATCTCACATCAAATAATTTTAGTTTGTCCTATCAGAGTGAGGTGGTTGTTAAATTGTACCAACTATTTTTTAAATTAAGGTTAGGGTGGTTTATTTTGCTATAATGTCAAAGAAAATAGTTAAAATTGAAGAGATCTGCTCCCTGCTTCTAGTTTTCAGCGGTACTATCCATTGGTTTTGACTGAACTGTTGTTGAATCAAGGGTGATTAGAAGCCACATAACATTTTTGAAGTCTGACACTGGTCCACAGGCCACATGTTGAGTACCTAGGCTATAAATTATCTTGCGCAAACAAGATAACAATATCACTTTGAGGGATTTAAGGGTTCTGCAAGTGCTCCCAGTTAATATTTTATGAAAGGATTAAATATGGTAACAATTCATTAACATAATTATATTGTATAGATAAAAGGAAAACTTTAGTAAGGTAAAATAAAAATGCAACAAATTTAAAACCTTTTAACAACCATGAGCAGTATTAAGAAGAGCAACTTCTTCATTTGTGCCTCATTTTGTCATATGCCTGCTTAGTCTAATTATTTTTTTACCCATAAAACTGACATTGTTTATTCACACAATACTTTTTACTTCCCTTAAAACCTGTGTTTTAGTAAATCGGTGCTTAATTGTTTTGCAGACTGGCTTTAAGATATGCTTCAACAAAAGTGTACAAATTACTTCTCATTATTGTGATGGTTATGTGTTATTTCTGATAAAACACAATAAATATTAATTAATGAAATGACTCTTCTATTTTCATCTTTGCTCCTATGATGTAGTGCATTATTTCTAAAGGTACAAATGCACATTTGTATTTGGGAAAAGCTTTGGTTAAGGGGACCAGTTCAAGACATGGTGGTCAGGATCTCTCACTTTAGTTTCATTTTAAGTTTAATTTAAAGGGGGAAAAGATAAATAGGCTAATAAGAGATAATTGTATTAAAGAAATTGTTTTTTGTATTACACATCTCAATGACGTACATGTATATGTGTTTAATGGTTTTGACAACTTTAACCTCTTCAAGTTAGTCAATCTAAGAACATATTACTGTCCACTGTAATACCTGTCATTAAAATGAGACATGATATAGATAGTGCTTCGGAGTTTCAGCATGCAGTATGATGCAATGCGATAGGAGGAAAACAAATTAACATGTCACAACCTTTGATAGTCTCTATATAGATAAAACATGTTGTAGTATTTATTTTAGTTAACCTTTAATCTTTGCACGTGCCTTTTTTAAACATTTAGACCGGGTATTGTGGTTGTCTTTTCTAGCATGATATGTTTTAAGAAGTCACGAGTAAAGTCCTATCTGTCTCCTAACATGAGGTGCACTTGTTTTGGAATTTGATTCGCCAAGGAGGCTGCGGACGCCCCGCCTCCCGGCCAGCGGAACCTCCCGATTGGTCGTCGCCGTCGCCTGTATCGGGGACACCAGGGGAGGCACGAGTTGGCCCGTAAGCCTGCGCTCGCGAGTCATCAGTGTCGGACACGTAGTGGGAACGAGCAGGTCCCGATGCACAAGTCACGGCAACCCTGGGCGGAGATGAAGGCGGACTCCGACTGGCTCTGATTTTTAAAAGCCCTTTTCATTCAGGAGGTTGGTTGCCAGTTGTTATCAATATGGCAGAACCGTTATCCCAAGCACCCACCGCTGCAAAAATGGCGTCACTTAACCGGGTCCGAGCTTTGGCGATGATTTTCTTAACTGTCACTGGCTGCTGTGTCACCCCGACAAGTGGCAAGGAAGGGTCCGAGGAGACCGTCATCATAGGGCTCCGACTGGAGGACACGGACGACATTTCCTTCATGGATAAGGGCTACCTGCGGGTGAGTGAGCGCTCTCGGGTAAAATTAAGAGTGTACGGGCAGAACATCAACAACGAGACCTGGTCCAAAATTGCTTTCACGGAACATGAGCGGAGCCGGGCGATTGGGAGCATTGACAGCTCCTCGGGGGATAACCAGAGCCAGGAGGACTCGTCCGGCTTGCACCCCTGTGGTTTTAGGACTTCGGATATAATGATATTGCCCTACATCATCCTGAATCGAAAGACATCCGGTATAGTTGAAATTGAGGTCAAACCTTTGCGAAAGACGGAGAGGAGTAAAACGTATTACCTTTGCATCGCCACCTCGACACCAGCCGTGGCCGGGATGCACGACCCGCGGACGGAGAACACCTGGATCTACCACGATGGGGATGACACCAAAGTGATAGTGGTGGAGGAGAAAAAGTTTCTGCTGCCTTTCTGGCTCCAGGTCATCTTCATCTCCATGTTGCTTTGCCTGTCCGGTATGTTCAGCGGGCTGAACCTGGGGCTCATGGCTCTGGACCCCATGGAGCTCCAGATAGTGCAGAACTGCGGCACGGAAAGGGAGAAGAATTACGCCAAAAAAATAGAGCCGGTCAGGAGCCAAGGGAATTATTTGCTATGCTCTCTTCTGCTCGGGAACGTGTTAGTGAACACCACGCTAACCATCTTGCTGGATGATATCGCCGGTTCGGGCTTGATTGCTGTTGTCATGTCCACCATCGGTATAGTCATTTTTGGGGAAATTGTGCCACAGGCCATCTGCTCCAGGCACGGCCTCGCTGTGGGAGCCAACACCATATTCCTCACCAAGTTCTTCATGCTGCTTACCTTCCCTGCGTCCTACCCAGTCAGTAAGCTACTGGACTACCTGCTCGGACAGGAGATAGGAACCGTGTACAACAGAGAGAAGCTTCTGGAGATGCTGCGCGTCACGGACCCCTACAACGATCTGGTGAAAGAGGAGCTGAACATCATCCAGGGCGCGCTGGAGCTCAGGACTAAGACTGTAGAGGACGTGATGACGCCGCTGAGGGATTGCTTCATGATTCCTGGGGATGCAACGCTGGACTTCAATACCATGTCCGAGATAATGAAGAGCGGCTACACGCGCATCCCCGTTTTCGAGGGCGAGAGGTCCAATATAGTGGATCTGCTCTTGGTCAAGGACCTGGCCTTCGTGGACCCGGATGATTGCACTCCGCTCAAAACCATCACAAAGTTTTACAGCCACCCGTTGCATTTTGTGTTCAATGACACCAAGCTTGACGCAATGCTGGAGGAGTTTAAAAAAGGTAAGAGAGTTTTGCAACAACCTTTGACACCTGGAATGTGTTAAAGGTTGATGTCTGTTCTAGGCAGGTCTTTCACATGACCACTCTCTTTGTTGGATAAGGCAAGGTAGATACATGAGTTATGTAATCGTTTATGATGCAAGGAGTCACTGAGTGCATGTGGTGTATCTATAGGTCAAATGTCTAAAATCAGATATTGAGCAATAAAAAGAAGGAAGAGGAATTCCTCAATAAATTTCTTGTACTGAAGGACAAAGAGATGGGGGAGGTAGCAGCAAAGGTTCTTTCCCCCTCAGACAACACTGAATCTGCCACAGGTGTAGTTGCCACATCTTCACAGGTCACTTCCTGTAAAGCGGAGAAGCAGGTGTCCTTATCATTCTCCATCACTTCCATTAAGTGTTAATGTTCACTCTCTCTCTCCCCTCCTGCTTTTCCTCCTCATGCCTTGCCCTCCTCCTATGCAACCCTTTTCACACTTTCCCATTCCTTTCATCTCTCCCTCTCTCTCATTTGTAAATGCATTAGGACATGTGGGAATAGTGCAACAGCAGCACTGAGGTTATCAGGTGGGGGCATCTTGTTTGAGAACCTGCTTAAATCCCTGTCTGCCTCTCATGCGCTTGCTTCAGAGTGATGGTGGCGATAACTCTTTTTTTGTCCAATCCTGGAATGCAGTCGTGTGGATAATGAATAACAACCTCTAACACCCTCAAGCCCCCCCCGTGTGCTGTGTGTATTTGTATGCGCATGGTGTTTGAGAAAGATGTTTACCTCACCCACGGTTTATCTGATGTTTTGCATAGCCAACCCCCTCACTGTTGTTGCTTCTGACTAAGTTATTCCTGGAAAGGGTTTGTAGATTTGGTGCTGGACTGGACTGATGCATATACAGACACACCTGTCAGCAGCTGATTTATGAACTCTTAAAACTAGGGGGAAAAAACATGACTGTTGTGCGCTTATTAGAATATTCGCTTCACTTTAAGAGGATTAATTGGGAGGAAAAACAGAACAAATCAGCGAGCTCCATTACCAGAAATTAGGTGTAGTTCCTCTGCCAAATTAGCATTACATAATATACTATTTGGGGAGGGGGGTGTTTGTTTATTTATTTTCATTACAGCTGACTAGTCACAGACATGCACCAGTTTTCTGAGTCAACAGAGAAAGTTCACCATCCTGTTATTTTATCAGAATACTAAGATCAGCAAATGTTTTTTCAATTTCTTTTTATTATTACATATCTCTGTTGTGATTGTAGTAGACATCTGATGACTAAGATTTTGTGTGTTACAACCATTTAGTGAATATTTGAATGTTTGTGTTTACTTGTGTTCCTGTGTGTGTGTGCGTTTGTGTGTGTGTGCTACACAATGGCGCTGAATCCACAAGTCACTTCATTGATAAGTAATATTGCAGAACATTAACTGGGAACTGTTTTGGTGGAGATATCATCTGAATTTCAGGAGCGGGAACACTCCTACCTTCACGCCCCCTCCGGCCTCAGCCTATAAAAGCCCCCCTCCTCCAATACCTGCTGTTCTCATTTTCACGCCCCACCCTTCCCCCTCATTTTTCCCTCTCTTCTCCTCTTCTCCTCTCTTCCTTCCCTTCATTCATTTCTCGTTAGTACACGGGGATCTGCCCGGCCCGAGAGCCGTCGCCAGTCCCCTTCGAGGCCTTCCCCAAACCGCAGCACCAGTCACACTTCCTCATCCCTCATCGCCCATCGTTACCGAGGATGTGGTCCCTGCTAGTGAAAAGAAAATAATTGGGTTGTTGATTCATTAGTCACCATATTTCAGTGACACAGAAACTTGTGTGAAGTTTTTATTTTTGTAAGGTAGCAACATTTTAGAATAGAATAGAATAATCCTTTAATTGTCCCACAAGGGGAAATTTGGTTGTAACAGCAGCCAAAAAGACACATATACAAACAAACAGTACACAGGACACAGAACAGAAACATACATAATTTTTCTTACATATTTACTTTTACATTTTCTTCTTAAGGAAGGAAAATGTGCCTTGCTCTGATGGAGATTTAGTAATTAATAATTACACTCCTGCACAATTTGTTTCGACAAAAAAAACAATAAACTAAGACAAACCGTTTTCTACTCTTTTTAATTCGATGCATATTTTTCTATCTATCCACTTTCTTAACTCCTTATCCAGTTCAGGGCCATGCTAGCCTGGAGCTTATCCCAACTGTCATGGGATAAGAGGTGGGGTACAACCTTGACTGGTCACCCATCTATCACAGAGAGAAAAGGACAGCCGCTTATGCTTCCAGGCAATTTAGAATCACTAATTAGCCTAATGAGAATGGAGCGATCCCACACAGGCGCAGGGACAACATCCACATACCAAACAAAAAAAAGATGCCAGGCAGCTGACAGTCTCAAATCCAGGGCCCTTTTGCTATGAGACGATATTCATAACCACTGCACCACTGTTCCACTCGTGCTTAGTTTGCTTTAGAGTCATTCCTCAGTTTGTGCACAAGCTGCAGATGTGGTCAGAGTTTAAAACATCTGCATGCACCTCATTAAATATCAGTTCATGTTCCGTCCTCAGCATCCAAACACTTGCTACATACCTAACACTGAGTTTATGTTTAAATAAAAGCTGCTGCCTAAGCAGCCATGACATACTTTGGTTTGAAATACTTAAAAAGAGACAATTAATAAAATAATGTGAAGTTTTTCTCTGTAGAAGTATTTTGCCCGTTAGCAGAGAGAGTGTCTTGTTGCATAATGATGCTTTAAATAATTCAGCTCCATTCATCTCAGATATGTTTGTGAATGGGTAACCGGGTGTATCTGTTTGCAGTAGTTAGTGGCAATTTGTGAATTCTGTTCACATACTCCCACTAAAAGACGCATACATTAAGTTTTCGCATCATTACACCTGCATACTTAATCATAAACACTCAGCTCTGGAGGGTATAGCGTCTGTGCTGCTGGCAGTGCACCAGAGGGGAATTCAAGGGAGGCAAGTCATAAGCAACTGCTGTGGGGAGGCCTGCGGGGTCAAAGTTTCCCGTCAATCTGGCTCTGTTCACAGCACACACTCAGTTCAAAGTGCTTTGTATTGTAAGTCATTGTTAATTAATTTGATGCCGCTTGCGGAGCTGCATAGTCGTTTGGAGTCGGTTACAAAAAAAAAAAGAAACAGTCCCAAAACATGCTGCTCACGGCAGAGACTGTGTTAGAGCATCGGATCAGAACTTTTTTCATAAGTTGGTTCCTCTTCACAGTTGTGGATTTGTAAGAGAGGATTTCAGACTGTGCAGCATTACATAATTCACCGTGATGCTGATTCTACTCTTTGTTAAGGTTTAAAAAGATTCTCAGAAGTGCTCATTTTACTTGAAATATAGAGAAGCCACCATAATCAACGTGCCCCTGCTTATGTTTTACCCAGCTCCATCGAGGTCCTAGGTCAAGGGTTACAGTGAGATTCATACAGGAGGTGTTTAATGCAGGCAGACACACTTCTGGAAACTTCTGACCCTTCATTAATTGCTCTCCATCTGCGACTGCAACAATTACTGTCATCTGGGGGTTTCTTGTCAAGCTGCAGCTTTACCCGTTAATGAGTGGGTCAGTGAGTGCCTTTTGGGACAAAACCAAGTAGCTGGGGCAAAAACAGGAATTTAGCTGCCCTTCTGGCTTCCAGTTATGAGCGATATTCCTGAAAGTGCAAGTTAGTCACCCCTTCACATACAGTGTTCCAAGCTTTTTGAGAGGAGAAATGGATTTACCGTAGGCATGAGAGCTCAACTCAGGTTGCACACATGTTCCTCTACACCACTCTGCTTTCTGATTCTGGGGAAGCCGGGCCACTCGTGCAGCATCAGATGCACGGGCACTTAGAGTCAGTTTATCTTATCTCCTATTTTCAAATCGCGTGTGTGATTGATGCGGTTATTCTCCTGCGTGCTGGTGATAAATATGTTATTTCACGTGCATACTGTTTAGTCATGCCTACAAGCTATTATGCCATATTCTTCTTTCAAAGCACAGCACTCATCTGCAAACCTTTTCTGCTGTTAAATGAAAAGTTCATTCCGCCGTGGTCTTTTCAATTCAACCACTGTTTCCTAGCCCAGACTGCACTGTATTCTTCACTGTTTTAGAGTAAAAGTCCCCAGTGTAAAAGAACCTACATGAGAACTGGCACGACTTGAACTAGTTCCCTAATTGCTGCAATATAGGCCAATCTATGCTTAATTCAGATTCAGCAGCCTTGCAGGCTCTTTGCTTAGGACTTTGTCTTAAAGTGAAACTCATTTTTTCTCTTTTGGGCCTTGTTGAAATACTGACAGCAGTTTGTGTGTGTTGCGTTTTTTAAATGTTTTTAGTCTTTCTGGGGGTTTGTGTGGAGCATGTAAAAGCAAATGTCTAAAAAGCGTGATGGATTGTTTGCCTGGTAACCCTCGGTTTTTAACGCTGCATCAAGTGTTGGGATTAAATGACATCATGTTGGTAAGAACACTTAATGTTTCCTGATGAGGGACACCCCTTTGAACTCAGCGTGACTTCTTCTGCCAGCCGCTCACTTTATCAGAACTAATTACCTCGAATCAAAGGTTGTCTGCATTTCACTATACTTGGTATTACAGAAGACGGCATCGGCTGCAGATTGTCTCTCGAGTGGAATGTAATATCATTTAAAAAAAACCAACACTCTGCATTTATTTATTATTTAAACACTTATCTTTTTATAATCATATCACTTGTGATTTCTGCTTATTTGTTCAGGCACCTGTCTGCATGGTTTATAAGAACAAAAATGATTCACTTGTAAACATATTCCTCTGTTTCTGCAGCCCTTTTAGGAGGTCTTTGAGAAAGAAGCCAGAAAACCTCTGTTGTAGTAACCTGTTGTTTGGTAACTTCTTGTCTGTGACTCAGTTTAAAGGCCCACACAAGTTGTTAATGCGTGTTTTAGCCCGTTTACTAAAAGCGATGAATAACTCACTGCCGCCA